CAGTCAGAAACAATCCATCATTATCCTCCTGAGTTGCTCAAATGTGTTGTCGTCAACGAGGATGTCTAAAGAAAGATGGGAAATGGTGGCTCTGAACGCCTCACCATGTGCTTCGTCGATCTATCTCTGCACCTCGGCCTCGCCAAGAAAGTGATAGTCGACCTCCATGAATCCTTTGGAGAGGTACTCACTTCGGACCCAGGTCTGGAACCCGACGAACTCCGCTACAGCGTCGTAGTACTCGCGGGCACATGGTGGAGTAACACATTGTGCTCGTCCTTCTCCTCTAGTGACGGCACAAGCGACGGTTTGTCACGCTTCAGGTGTCGGTACGTGTCAGAGGCATGTATGGCGACAGGTCGACGATCCGGTCGATATCCTCCTACCGCGTCACCACATCTTCTTCATGAATCGAATCTCCTCGCTTTGGGAATTGGGGTATGCATTCTTATCTCCCTCGGAATGGTTGATAATCCTCTTGGTGGCACCCGAAAACCGAACTGGTTGCAAGTTGACCGATACGGAACTACTAAGAACTTATACGAAACTAATACTGCAAGTTGACTCGATACATTACTCAAAAAAATTGTGGTTAACTCAATACAAAACTAATAAGAACTATCAAAACTCAAAAGCAGATATAAGTATAGCCCAGTAATACTGTTGCAACCACTAGCATGTCACCTACATTGCATAGTTGCAAAATAGACGACCATAGTCATGAACAAGGTGCACAACTACAAAGTGTTGGAAATATGCCCTAGAGGCAATAATAAATTAGTTATTATTATATTTCCTTGTTCATGATAATCGTTTATTATCCATGCTATAATTGTATTGAAAGGAAACTCAGATACATGTGTGGATACATAGACAACACCATGTCCCTAGTAAGCCTCTGTTGACTAGCTCGTTGATCAATAGATGGTTACGGTTTCCTGACCATGGACATTGGATGTCGTTGATAACGGGATCACATCATTAGGAGAATGATGTGATGGACAAGACCCAATCCTAAGCCTAGCACTAAAGATCGTGTAGTTCGTATGCTAAAGCTTTTCTAATGTCAAGTATCATTTCCTTAGACCATGAGATTGTGCAACTCCCGGATACCGTAGGAATGCTTTGGGTGTACCAAACGTCACAACGTAACCGGGTGGCTCTAAAGGTGCACTACAGGTATCTTCGAAAGTGTCTGTTGGGTTGGCACGAATCGAGACTGGGATTTGTCACTCCGTGTAAACGGAGAGGTATCTCTGGGCCCACTCGGTAGGACATCATCATAATGTGCACAATGTGACCAAGGGGTTGATCACGGGATGATGTGTTACGGAACGAGTAAAGAGACTTGCCGGTAATGAGATTGAACAATGTATCGGTATAACGACGATCGAATCTCGGGCAAGTACAATACCGCTAGACAAAGGGAGTTGTATACGAGATTGATTGAGTCCTTGACATCGTGGTTCATCCGATGAGATCATCATGGAACATGTGGGAACCAACATGGGTATCCAGATCCCGCTGTTGGTTATTGACCGGAGAACGTCTCGATCATGTCTACATGTCTCCCGAACCCGTAGGGTCTACACACTTAAGGTTCGATGATGCTAGGGTTATAAAGGAAGTTTGTATGTGGTTACCGAATGTTGTTCGGGGTCTCGGATGAGATCCCGGACGTCACGAGGAGTTCCAGAATGGTCCGGAGGTAAAGATTTATATATGGGAAGTCCTATTTTGACCACCGGAAAATGTTCGGGATTTTTCGGTATTGTACCGGAAAGGTTCCGGAGTGGGGCCCACCTGCATGGGGGACCCACATGAACGTGGGTAGTGGGGGCAAGGCCCCACACCCCTGGTCAAGGCGCACCAAGATCCCCCCTTAGAAGGAAAAAGATCATATCCCGAAGGGATAAGATCAAGATCCCTAAAAGGGGGGATAACAATCGGTGGGGAAGGAAATGATGGGATTTCTTTCCTCCCACCTTGGCCAACGCCCCAATGGACTTGGAGGGCAAGAAACCAGCCCCTCCACCCCTATATATAGTGGGGAGGCGCATGGGAGCTTCACACGAAGTTCTGGCGCAGCCCACCCCCTCTCCCAAGTCCTCCTCGTCTCCCGCGGTGCTTGGCGAAGCCCTGCAGGATTGCCACGCTCCTCCACCACCACCACGCCGTCGTGCTGCTGCTGGATGGAGTCTTCCTCAACCTCTCCCTCTCTCCTTGCTGGATCAAGGCATGGGAGACGTCACCGGGCTGTACGTGTGTTGAACGCGGAGGTGCCGTCCGTTCGGCACTAGGATCTCCGGTGATTTGGATCACGACGAGTACGACTCCTTCAACCCCGTTCTCTTGAGTGAAGTCATAAACGGCTTTGGTTTTGTGCTAATGGCCCATTAGCTAGGTAGAGATAGCTAGCCATGCACGTGGTGGTGCTGGTGGTCATGGCCTTGCTACTTTGGAGGATTTCATTTCCTTTCTTTCATTAGCTAGCTAGTTAAAGATTTCCTTTCCTTGTCTCCAGTAGGATTGCATGTAGGGATTTGGCCCTGTTGAAATCACATGGTTTTGATGGTCTATGTGGAGTTTCTGATGTGACACGTATATCCACCAAAACATCTGATATTTATTTTCTTGCTCGATTTTGTTCAGCAGGTGCCCGGCTCCATGGAGGAGGAGGACGACCGGGACCCAAAGCCGATGAGGACATCATTGAGTCCGGGGACCTTGACCTCGACCACTCGCACAAGGTCTTTCCTCTGTTCCTCGATATGCTCAAGAGCTACGTGGAGTCGGCATTGGCTGCTGAAGGGGCTTGACATCGAAAGAGACATTCGAGCTTACTGCAGATCATGGGAGGTGTTGGATCTGTATATATGTCAAGTGAATCATTTTGGTGCCCTTGGAGGGAGGCCTTGCACACAGAAGCTTGAGGAGTCTATTCTGAGGCGAGGCGTTATCTTCGAAGAATACGGATAGTTTGTTTAACTTGATGGACACAGCTAGCGTTGATCCGCTGAGCATATGTGGTGGTATCTTGATCTCTTGGAACATACTCCCTCCGTACGGAAATACTTGTCATAAAAAATGGATAAAAGAGGATGTATCTAGACAAGGCATGCCTAAAGCTTCTTATCAAAGAATCTACTGCCACCCAATGAGGAGCCGAAGCGCTTTCTGCTACCAAAGATTGTATGTTCTGGATCTTATCTTGTCTTGGAGCGTTCCTGGGATGGCTTTGGAGTTGTTGTTTTTCCGTTTAATCATATCTTGTTATGGGCAGCCAATGAATCTATGTATATGACCGAATGTTTCCTTTTTGATGATCTAAATAAATAAAGGCCTTGTCTTGTTTTGATCACATACATAATTAATTTGCTGTCACCTGCGTATGCCTATGCCTATTGGTCCATTTGCTTGCTTGTAAACTCTCTTTAGGTAGCATGCATGTACTACTACCTCTGTATCAAAATATAAGATGTTTTTTGCAGTTTAATTTGAGCTGCAAAAATATCTTATATTTTGGTACGGAGGAAGTATATGCATTTGCGTGTGATTAAATAAGAGAAGAAAAGATGAGCACCAACATCAAACAAGAGGAGGCTTCTTGGCCATATAATTTCATTAGGAAGATGAGCTGCTGTTGCACTAGGACTCGCTCTAGAACAACTCAACAACGTTGTCTATCTTTTGACATCCTCAAAGAAATCAGACCGTCTTGGAATTTTGATTTCTGCTAGAGAACAGGGGAAGCTCAACATTCTTGAGACGATACAGTCATGCTAGTCGGAACGGGTGTGCGGCAGCGGAACCGTTGCACATGTAAGCTATCGTGAACTAGCTAGTGTCTTTGCATGCGTTGTTCCCGATTAACGTGTGGCATGCAAACGGATTTTTAATGCCAGACGTCCCATTCTAGGGTAATTAAGGAGGCGTGCGAAACTTTAGCTAGGAACGACGTGCCCCGGTGTGATGAGAAACCTGTGTCCTTTAATTGTGTTCCCGGTGAATGAAATGAATGTGGATGCCCTCCGTGGTACGGCCTTCCCTCCGGCTATGCCATGGACCATTCCCTCCCCTCCTTGTTCTCTCCACCATGATGCCTGACAACTCTCTCTATATATGAAAGAAGTAGTCGTCCATCCGCGTGCGGGGAGCGTGTGCGACTTGGACTTGGATCCGGCCCCTTCACTTGATGGATCTAGTAGGTACTCCCTTCGCTCTCGATTCAGTTAATCACGCATGCATCCTGGTTTTACAGATAGCAGGCATTTCGGTTTGACGACGCGTGGACGGGGCGAAGAAGATGTGGCGGCTGCCGCGGGAGAAGGTCGACCGGATCGTCGACTGGTCGCCTCCCGCCGTGTACCGAGACCTGAAGCGCGGCAACCTGTCGCTTCTGCCGTCGCCGGAGGAGGAGGAGGACGAGCCAACGGCGCTCCTCTACCGGCGCGCGCGCGAGTGTACGAGCACGTGGAGGAGTTAGCCGGGTTCCAGGCCAGGGTCCGCCGCGAGCACGCCTCCAAAGGATTCGTGGAGGTCGACTACGACTGCGTCGGCGGCGAGGCCTAGGCGCGGAGGCGGGTCAACCAGGCACGTGGTGAGGCTTTCGGAGCCATCGTTGCTCATCTTTCTTCAGGCGTCCTCGTCGACGCCGGCACGTTCCGGCAACTCAGGAGGAAAATGATGGACGGTTTCTGAGTTCTGACTGAAACCCAACTCGATCATATGTCTGATGCTGTTTGCAGTCAGACCAGTGGCTCTAATGGAGTATTATTATTATGAGGGAGCTAGCTAGGCCTAGGTGTATGCTCCGTCCCAAAAGTGATCGATTATACTGGTTTGTGCCCTGTCACAGCATGACTCATCCGATCAGTGCAATATGTCGATTTCAGAAAAAAGAAAGCAAAGCAGCAGCAATAGGTTTGTGCACTACTGATTTCTCTCTTAATTGGACAGTGGATAACTGAAGATAAATCCTACTGCCTGTGTCTTTCTTGCTACTCCATCCATTTCCTTTTGAGTTGCCGGAACGTGTCGGCGTCGACGACGAACTCTGAAGAAAGATGAGCAAAGATGCCTCCGAAAGCATCACCGCGTGCCTGGTTGACCCGCCTCTGCGCCACGGCCTCGGCGCCGACGCAGTCGTAGTCGACCTCCACGAATCCTTTGGAGGCGTACTCGCGGCGGACCCTGGCCTGGAACCCGGCGAACTCCTCCATCTGCTCGTAGAACTCGCGCGCGTACCGGTAGAGGACCACCATGTGCTCGTCCTTCTCCTCCTCCGACGATGGCAGAAGCGACGGGTTGTCGCGCTTCAGGTCTCGGTACAGGGCGGGAGGGAAGTACGGCGGCCAGTCGACGATCCGGCCGACCTCCTCCCGCGGCAGCCGCCACATCTTCTTCGCCGCCGGAATCGCCTCCTCTCCTCGGGAACAGCCGGCCGCCCTCTTGGCCGTCGGGGAACGCTCCTCGCCGGAAAAAGACGCCGCCTTTCGTTTGCCAGGGCAGACACACTCGACGCCGGCCATCGGTTGATCTGATTTCTGCTCAACTCGCCCCCGGGAGATGTTGAGATCTGGATTTGGGGGCTGCTCCTTATATTGGTTTGGTTTCAGCCCCGTCCACGCGTCGGGCTATCTGAGTCATACTCTTTTTTTTT